CCTCCCCCCGCCACCACTGCCACTACCGCCACCACCGCCGCCGCCGCCCCCACTCCACTGCCGCGTCCGGCCAGCCAGAGGAGAGCGGGGTGGGGCCCTGCTCAGGCCACGCCCCCACCCTGCCCAAGCCTCCGGGTCGCGTCAGAAACAGTCGCGGAGCATCACGGGATATAGAGTCCTTGAGCCTGGGAGCTCCCCGGAAAGAGTTTGCCACCGACCTACAACTCCCAAGAGGCATCGCGGTGCAGGTGGCTTCGGGGCGTAAGCCAGGAGCGCGCGTTTGCGCGCAAAGACCTAAGGGAGCTGTAGTCTGGTTCCCAGTCTCCGAGCGCTGAGCGGGTCTTTTCCTGGGGCCTGGGGGTGGGGCAGTCACCCAAGGGGAGGGGTTTACAACATAATCAAGCTTTGTGGGTGCTTCTGGGTTTGGCCCCCTAGCGTGATCCCAGACAAGAGGTTTTGGACCTGGAGAGCTGAATAATTCAGGGCGGCTGGTCCCTCTAGCCTACTGGTTCCACCCCTGCCTCAGTTTCTCCCTCCACGACCTCGCGTGCCGTCGGGGTGAGTCAGGACGACTGCCAGGGCAGAGGCGGATGGCGGTTAGCCTAATTACGGCTCTTATTGTTGCAATGATTATGCCATCTCTACACTGTAGTCACTGCTTTATTACCAGGCTGGCACCCTCCAGGGGCTGGTTTTAGCAGCCCGAGACACCGAGGTGGCCCCGACACGAGACCCGAACCGGTAAACCAGCCTTGCTGCCTAAGGGTGCAAGGATGCCCGCAGCGAGTATTACCCCTCCCTTTTGTTTTGAAGCAGAACCAATCCTCGACACTCGAGTCTGGTTTTAAAACTGTAGTCAAGATGTAGGAGGAGCCTGGCCCCTAGTTGGGGCGGGTCTGGAGCTTGGGTTACGTCAACCACTGCGAGGGCCGGAGCGGTTGCCTGGAATAGAAACTTGGCCAAGAGCCCAGGAGATTGCTGACGTTTGACTTTCTTGCCAAGCTGTCATCTATCTTGCTCTTTAGGGCTCTTGCAGTCAACAAAGAGTAAACACAGTTCAGAGATACAAACCAGTGTACTAGACACTAGAAAGGCAGAGTGGAGAAGCAGTTAGTGTTGCTGGGTTGGGAGTCAGGACGCCAGAGTTTAATTCCCAGCCCCTTGGCTGTCTCGTGACTCACCACACATCCATTGTATGTCCACTTCCCCTCTCTTCACAAACACCAAGTTGCTCATACACAGCCCAGAAATAAAACAGCCCTTCCCTCCAGACCTCGGTTTTCCTTGAAAAACTAGACGCAGCAATAGTGGCTTACCTCTGGTGGTTCTTTCAGGGGTGCAGACCTGGTGGAGTCCATGGCTTCCCCCCAGGACTTCAAGGAGGAAAGCAGGTTACTGATCCTGTAGTTGCTGTCCACATGGCATAACTCCGCGAAGCAGTGAGAGCAGAAGAACCAAAAATCCGCGAAAAGGCCTAGCAGACCCAGCCAATTATGTGGTCTTCAGTGGTTGAAAACACGTGTTTTCTCCTCAACCCTGTTCAGCTAAAGGAAGGTTTTGCTGCAAAGGTCGACGGTAGCCAGGTGCACAACCCTACCAGGGAAACTGCTACTTAGAGGCTGAGACAGAAGAACTCATGGAGAGATCTCAAGAAGGATGGAAATTGGAAGCAGGAGCTAAGACTATTCCCCCAACATTCTGACCACCACCAGCTCTGGGCTCTCTTGATAACCAGGGCCTGCTGCACTCGCCTGATAACACTTGTCCTCTCCTCATTACAGATCTTTCAACCACCCAACACAAACAATTTCACTTCATTCTTCCCAATTCCCTCGTCTCCTAAGTGGAGAACATCTTTTAAGAGATGGGAAAGGATAACCCATTTTGACAGCCATTCTTAAACAACCTGGCTTACCACAGACAGGAGTGAAGGCTTACAGATGAATAGGCTGAACAGGGATGTCTGCCCAGAAGGAGATCAGGGTCCTGGAAGATGGAAGGTGGTATATGTGTTTAGTTTCCTGGAGGGTTTGCTTTGAGGTGCTTATGAGGTGGTTGCCTGTGGGGTAGATAATGGGTGTATACATATGTGTATACACACAGACTTTTTTTCCTGGTGTGTAATTAGTCATTCACTCCTTATGCATAATACCTTTACATATGTTTTAAACTCAGACTTAGCAATATTTCCCTTTATACTTTCTTGGTTTTGTGTTGTGTTTAGGTTTCTAAATTATGAATTATTCTCTGGTATTTTCTTCTAGTAGTTTTGAGGTTTATTTTTATGTTTAGGTGTTTGATTGATTTGGAATGTATCTTTATGTAGGATGTATGATAGGAACTAATTCGATTAATTGGATTTTTCCCTTCTAAATGGATAGGGAATGGTCTCAAGTTATTTGCTTCGAAGTCACCCTTATTATATATTAGGATCTACATGTACATGGATCTGTTTCTGGACTCTTTTCTGTTTTATTATTTGCTTATTCCTGAGCCAATACCACAGTATTTTAATGATTGTACTTTTATGGTATGTTTTGATCCCTGGTCCTTACTTCCTGAAACACACCTTTTTCTTGGCCTCCATCACCTGATACTTATCTATTTTTCTTTGTACTTCTCTGCCTACTCCTCAGTCTTCCCTACAGGTTCTCTCTCTCTGCTCATCCCCTGAACATTAGTGTCTTCAGGCTCCTAGCTCATCTTCATTTCACACACCTTCCTTGGGTGATCTTATTTACTCCCATGCTGGTGACTCTCAAATACATATCTCTATTCCTAATGATGTTCCTAAATCTCTTCACTGTCCAATGGAACAGCAAAGTCAAACTATTTAAAATAGAACTCATCTTTTCTCCTTACCCATACCCCAATAAGACCAGTCCTACTCTAGTGTTTCTTCCTTCATTGAATGACACAACCGCCCATAGGGTTGCTGAAGTAAAAAAAAACCTGCTTGTCTTCTTGACAGTCTCTCTATCCCTCCTCCTCTTCCTGGGCTCAACCACCAAGCTCACAGGACCTCCTAAATATTTTCAGTTCTCTCCACCCCATTGTTACTACCCTAGTTTAGGCCTCTTTCACCGTGCACTTGGGTAATTGCAGTTACTAGCTCTAGTTGGCATCCCTGCCTCCTCCTTTATCCTCTCTGTAATCGAATCTCTACACTGTAGCCAGTGTAGAGATTAAATTTATAAGATGTAAATTTAATCTTGTCACTCCCCTACTTAAACCTTTCAGAGGTTCCCCCAACCCCCTACAGGATCAAGTTCAAACTCTTTATTGTGGCCCTGCCATGATCTTGCTCCTGTTTGTCCATCACTGCCTTAATTCTTCATAACGTGAACTTTTTTTATTCCTTGAATAATGGATGCTCTTGTATCTCAAGGTCTTGTTAAAAAATAAAATTCATCCGAGTAAACTTGAAGATCTAGTTGACTTTATTCAATGATTCATGAATCAGGCAGCATCCCATCTAGTAAATAGAAAAGCACTCTGAGAGGCTCTTCAAAATGGAAGAATTTTATAGAAACGGGGACAGAGCAATAAGATTATTAGCAAAAGGAAGGAAAGGATTGCTCACCTTACATTAGGGGGAAGCGGGGAGGGTCTTATCTTGGAAATTACCTCACTAGCGCTGACTAGGAAAATCCAGACTGGTTAGTTTAAAATTCCACTCCAGGAATTCAGGAGAAGTTGAAACTGCTATTAGGTTACGGAAAGAGTTTTGGTGAGATTTAGCAAAAGTGACTCCATTTTGGGCTTGTTTCTTTTTTTAACAGTCTCTAGTGGTCTCCAGGACCACTAGGCCCTCCTCTTTACCTTTACTCATCCTTAAGGTCACAGTTTCCTCTGGGACCACCTCTCGCTCTCTAGGTTAGGCGCTCCTGTTCTTTGAGTCCACAACCCACGTACACGTCACTGTATAATTCATCACACTGCATTGTATCCATAGGCACTGAACCCTCTGAGGACAGCGCCTGCCTCTGGCTTGCTCGCCGCAGAACCTCCAGCACTTAGGACAAGGCCTGACACGAAGTAGGTGCAGGAGAGAACGCGCGGGCTTGCGGGTGTCCTTTGGAAGGCCGCGCTAAGTGGCTGAGAACCTGTGGTTTCCCTGTGGGGAAAGGGCTCGACGGACCTGCCTCAGCCTCCGCCACACAGACGCCGCCCGCGGCCCCCGCCCCCTTCCGCCCAGCCGAACCGGAAGTGGAGGTGCAAGGTTCCCATGAGGCAGCGCGGGGTGCCTATTCAAACTGCACCGAGAGGAGGGGGGAAGTCGTGATGGCGTCGCTGGAGCCGGAAGTAAAGCAGTCGGCTGCAGTCCCTGGTAAGGAGTGAAGTCCGGAGCCGGAGGAGCCTTGGGGACCTGTTTTCACCCTGCCGCCGCTCCCTCCAGTCGTTTAGCTCTTGGCCGTTTCTCTGGCTCGTCTGTCTTCATTTCCCGGCGTCCCTCCCATTTCTGACTAGGCCCCAGTGACTGCATCGCCCCCACAGCACTGGATCCCATTGGTTTCACCCCCACTCTGCCTTCTCGGCGAGTTCTGGACCCTGCTTGACTACACTTTCTCTCAACTCGTTTTCCTAGATCAGGGCCTCTACTTTCTGAGCAGAGACTCAGTCACTGCCTCTGAAATCCTCCACCCTTCCCCCCCACCAAATCCCGTCGTCACTTAAATCACCTTAGGCGACTGGGATCCAGAACCTTCCCGCCAGCGCCCACATAGGAATTTGCGGAGGGAATGTGCATGTGCCGGGGTGTCATCTCTGCAGTGGTGGCTGATGTCGCCACAAGGGAATGAGAAGACTGCCTTTGGCCTTCAAATTGTTCAATTTTTCTCTCTTGTCCCTCTGTGCACCTACCAGATTTAGAGTGGTGTGAGAAGTCGGAGGAAACTCACGACCCCCAGATAGAACTACTTGAGACTGTCTCCACCCAAGAGCCTCCCAACCCTTCGGAGCCCCGTCGCCCCAGAGACTGCATGGTGCCTGTGGTGTTTCCCGGGCCTGTGAGCCAGGAAGGCTGCTGTCGGTTTACTTGTGAACTTCTAAAGCATATCATGTACCAACGCCAGCAACTCCCTCTGCCCTACGAACAGCTTAAGCACTTCTACCGAAAACCTTCTCCCCAGGTAGGTACAGGCTTTGAGAGAAAGTTGGTGGGGAGACTTTAGATGGTAGGCAGGCAAAAAGGGGTCTAAAGAATCTTCAGGGCCTGTGTGCGTAAGCAGCTGTAAGGGAGATTTCAGCCCCATGGCTTCGGCCACTTTCTCCCCACTCTAGTCTTTATAATCCTTCCCACTTGTAATCTTGTTTTCTTTTTCTGAAACTCCTATTGTGTGTTGTGTTAGGACTTCATGAACTGATACTTTAATTTTAGTGTGTTTTCTCTCCAAATCCTCATCTCTTTGTTTTTATGTTATACTTTCTGCAGGATTTCCTTGAATTTATATTCCAATACTTACATCAATTTTTTCTTTTCGGTAGTCATAGTCGTAAGAGCTTTTACTTAATTTTTAAATGTTTTTTTAAAAATTGCATTCTGTTGTTTCTTGTCTCTATGAATTTTGCGGGTTTTAATTACCGTATTTTTGAAGCTTTCCTGTGTTCCTTTCAGTGTCTCAGTTTTCTTCCAAATCCCTTTTCCTATTTATTTGTTTTGGTCTCTCACTTTCATATTAGAGGCTTTTATTTGGTGTCTGGTGAATATTTAATACTAAGTGGTTCAGAGTTCTGTGTGCATGGCCAGGCCTGTGAGCTAGCTGATTGACTTTAAGGATATTGGCTGGGAACACAGTGGTAGTGATAACAGGAAAGAGGATTATTTGATCTAATAAAAGTGATTCTGGAATTTGTCTTCCAGTTAAGCATGGCAGATTGAACACAAGCTTATTTGTGCTCCCATCTGAAATACTAGTAAATGAGAGAAAAAGGAAGGAAAAAGAGAGAGAAAGAGAACTCCCAAAACATTCTCTCTGGGTGGAGGAAATTGGCAGGTGATCAAAGGGTCCTCATGCAGGTCTTCATTCAGTCTCCATGTGCCCATATGTTCACTCTTCTGCGGGGCTTAAGTTGACAATTCCTGGGCCTTTCAGCTTCTGCCGTGTGAATCAGTTTGCTTCTCCGGGGAGTCTCCTCTGTCAGCACTTGGTATTCAGCTCTCTTGAACTCTTCCATCTGCTTTCTATCTTCTGAAAATTTATTGTTGCCTTTGGCCACTGTTGTCTATTTTCCGGTTCTTTTTGCCCTTAGGAGTCCTCTTTCTCTCTCCTTCCTCCCTCCCTCCCTTCAATTTGCCATGTTTAACTGGAAGATGAACTCCAGATTCACCTTTATTAGACCAAATAATCCTCATTCCTCTTATCACCCTCAGCACAGCAAAAATTTACCTTCTGCTGTGCCACCATAAAATACTCCTTGAGTATTTGAGTTGCTTATTTCTGGATGCCCTCCTGCTTCTTTGCTGTTCTAAGTGTGGGAGAATTTTGTTTTGTACAGAGAATATGTTTTCCTTTTTGATATATTACCCACTGATAAAACCCAGCATCTTGGCTGTGGTAGTTCACTGAACTGGAAGTCCCATAAGTCTGCTCCATCCCAGCAGGGCTCTTCAAAGGTCATTAGCTTTCCCCTACCTTGCAGAACTTCTCTGTCACCATTCTTTGTCCTCACAGGCAGAGGACATGGTAAAAAAGAAACCCCGAGCCACTGCTGAGGCAAGCAGCAGGAAATGCCAACAAACCCTGGCAGAACTGGAGAGTGTTCTCAGCCACCTGGAGGGTCTCTTTGCCCGGACACTAGTACCACGAGTGCTGATCCTCCTGGGGGGCAGTGCCCTTAGTCCTAAGGAGTTCTACGAACTTGACTTATCCCGCCTGGCCCCCCACAGCATGGATCCGAGCATGAGCACAGCAGCTTGTTTGCGCCGCCTCTTCAGAGCCATTTTCATGGCTGATGCCTTCAGTGAGCTGCAGGTTCCTCCACTCATGGGCACCATTGTCATGGCACAGGGTCACCGCGACTGTGGAGAAGATTGGTTTCGACCCAAGCTCAACTACAGAGTGCCCAGCCGGGGCCACAAACTGACTGTGACCCTGTCCTGTGGCCAACCTGCCATCCCAAGCATGGCCTGGGAAGATTACATATGGTTCCAGGCACCAGTGACACTGAAAGGCTTCCACGAATGAATGGGAATGCTTCTTAATTGTGAACACAATGGCTAAATTATTTGTCCCCCATGGCTCCAAGTTACCCATCTCTTGCTCAGAGCTAGTTACTTCCTGCCGAGAGGAAGATTCTATCCTTCTGGCTGCCTGCCTCCCTTCCTCAGACTTCCCAATGGGCTGCTGGTATGCCTGGGGTTTTAATAACCATCATTGAACAAGCATCTCTTTGAATCACAGGTAGATTTTCCTAGAGGGTGCTAGGTCAGGTGTTTCTGTTTGGGGTTAGAAAGCAAACATGGCCCGTAGACAGACACCCCTGTGGAGGTGGCCCTTTTCTGCTTTTTGCTATGGTCTTTCAGAATTTTTTCAGAGGCATAATGTGGCTGTGACTTAAACTTAAATATAAAATGAATGGATTCATATTACATTTTCCTGGAACTCTTAAACAGACTTTCCAGGCTTGAGGCTAGAGTATTTTGTCTTTCTCTTTGGCCTCTTATGCTTCAGGGCTTCCAGGATTTTTAAATTAATAGTTCTTTCTCTTCATCAGCCCTAGGCCAGTCTGGAAAGTTAACTGACTTGGCCAAGGTCTGTAACAGTTTGATATCAGAGTTGGGACTTGAGTCTTCATCAGCTGACTCCTAGCCTGAGGCATACTCGTTCCTTGCCACATACTGGTTTTTGTGACCAGTGTGTGACTAGTAGAGAATGTGTGCCGAAAGCACAGGTTGGTTACACAGGGAAAGGGGGCTGAGAAACTGGGCTGAGTCGAGAAGGCTAAGAGGGTCTTTGCAAAGCTTGATTGAACCATAGGCTGAGGCACCAGGATTGCCCTGTAAGGAGCACCTTCCTGAGGCCAAATGTCCCATCTGGAATTCTGCCCAGCCTGTCTTTGTAGCCGTTGTGTGAATCCTCACCCTGCTGGTGTTGGAGATAGGAGTGTGTATGTGTGTGTGTGCGTACATGGGAACAGTATAAATATATACTATTTTTTATGTTTTAAGAAGAGTGTGTTTTTATGTTTTAAGAAATCATAAAAAGTAGTTTATATTTTATAGTATGTTTTAAGCACTTTACATACATTATCTAATCTGATAACCTTGCAAAGTTCATGACTCCTCGTTTTATAGATGAGGCTTTGGGAGATTGGATAACTTGCATAAGTATAGAAACCTGGATTCAAACCCAGTCCAGCTGGTTCCAGAGGCTGAGCGCTTTACACTGTGCTGTACCTTCTGTGTGACTTTACTCTGAAATAACGGAACAAGGTTTGCACTGCTGAAGGTAGTAACGTTGGAAAGCTGCAGGACTTCCCTCTCTGGCTTCAGATTGTGTTTCCTGACATGGAATCTGCCTTTTATTGGTGCTGAGTAAATATGGATCAATGAAAACAAAAAGTTTGAGTTATTTTCTGTGCTGTGACCACTTGAAGCATATTGTGCCAGTTGGAATTTCTGCTTTTTTTCTGTCTAATATTACCTTACAGAAGAGGAATGGGGCTGTATCTCCCACTAAGGAACAGGCGGAGGGGTCTGACTAAAGGGAGGGAGTTCTGAACAAGGGAGTTATAAATTGCTTTGAGATGGAAGACACATTAAGCCAATCCAGCTCCCTCAATTACTAATTTTAAAAGCCTTCACGAACAGTGTCTAGACAATCAAAACAAAGTAATTATCCAGGTAATTGAGACACTTCTCTATCACCTTGTCATTGGGGCCCAGGTCAGTCTGATTTCATGATTCCTGTCCAAAGGAATCCAGAAATTAAAAGATCAGTTAACAATTTTAACGATAAATCTCATCTCCTTCCCTGATAACAAGCCTGCTGAGGCACCTGCTTATCTTTCTGACCTTGGCTGGGCACTGGAGAGGTAGATGTGAAGAAATAGCCCCTAGCCCAGGGACTGAAGAGTCCAGCTGCAGTGGGGTTCTGGCATTTCAAGTTTTGCTACCATTTGAGCTTAAAATCAAGTTGTGGGGCCAGCAGTAGGTACATGTAGGTGGTAGGGGAAGTGTAGTTGTTAATGTTGTAAGTGAAAATGTTGATGGTAAAGTGTAGTCTGTAAAGTCACCCTTTTTGTATCCTCTGCACTCTCCTTTCCCAAGGTGTGGTGTCATCCCATTGCCTAGGTCTTGGTTTGCCACCAAAGGAACAGTCCTAAGGAAGGGGGAAATACGAGATATCTGTGAAGACTGAAGAGAGTGGAATAGGTGGACCCCATCCTGTAAGACCTGGCTTTGAGGGGGATTGATTGCCTTAGAATCCTAGAGCCAAGAGGACCTCAAATTCTTTTCTTCATAGATAATTCTGAGGCCAAGACAAGAGAGGACAAGAATGGAATAATACAGCTAATGTCACTGTGGCATTACTTTCTTCCTAAGCCCCCACTGCATACACAGTGAGGACCCAATAAATATTGTGTGGAAGGGCTTAGGGAAAACAAAAATATCCCCGGAATTGGGTTTAGTTGGGACCTCCAACCTACCACATTGTAGCCTACATATTTTGGGGGAAAACCATGCCGTTGTCGTGACAAATGAACGCACCCCGTCACCTACTGGAGAAAAGAAGCGGGAGGGACGCCCAAGCTTTTCAGAAGGGCTCCTGGGAAGAAGAGCCGGCGGGAGGCGGGTCAGGTGGAATCCTGCTTCCGGCAGGACGGAGGGGCGGAGCCTTGGGTCTCCAAGGTCACGGCTTCTCCTAGCAACCTGACAGGCGTTGAGCTGAGCCGCCGGCGCGATGGACGCGGAGAGCCTCCTGTTATCGCTGGAGCTGGCGTCCGGTAGTGGGCAGGGCCTCAGCCCAGACCGTCGGGCCACGCTGCTCACTTCCCTTACGCTGGTTAAACGCGACTACCGCTTCGATCGGGTCCTCTTCTGGGGCCGCATCCTCGGCCTCGTTGCGGATTACTATATCGCGCAGGGCCTGAGTGAGGACCAGCTCGCACCGCGCAAGACGCTGTACAGGTGGAGGCGGCGCCCGGGTGGGCGGAGGCCGCAGGGGGATACCGAGGGGAGAGCCACAGGGGACCGGGAATGAGGGGGCAGGGTGCGAGGTAGGCTCAGAAAGCGCTGGGCCTGCGGGGTCAAGGAAGGGGGTGGACGAGGCCTGAGAGGGCGGAGCCCTGGGAGGACCAGCGGGTGGGGCGCCAGAGAAGCTTAAAGACTGGTGGGATAATAAGAGAGGCAGGGCGAGAACGGAGGCCCAGCAGATGAAAGTTCTTGAAAAAAGGAGACCCGGAGTAGAAGCCAGGTGCAAGCCTGGAGTGGACCTGGGCTTTTAAAGAGTTCAGTTTGGAGAACGGTCTTAAGCCCAAGGCGGTGGTGTGGAGGTGTTTAAGTGGTAGAAATAATGGGACTTGTGACTGAACGGGGGAAGTGAAGAAAAGGTCAAGGTTGACCCTCCCAGCTTAGGTAGCCAGTTAAATGCTGGTGTCAGTGGGAGAGAATCTAGGAGGCAGGACTAGGGAAGGCCTAGAGACTTTGGTGTGAGTGCCTGGAGGGCGGGGTGGTAAGGAGGCATATTGAAGTACAGATCTGGAGTCCAGAAGAAAAATTTGGACTGAAGATAGAGATTTGAGACTCATTTTATTCCATAAGTTTTTATTTCTTTGGCACTTACTATGTGCCAGGCATTGACCTAGACACCAGGAATTTAGTGCTAAATGAGACTAAGTCCTTGTTTTCAGGGAGTTTACATTTTAGTGTGTATGTGGGAGGAGGGGAGACAGACAATAAATAAACACACATATACTGCATACACTTAGCACTGGTGCTAAGTGCAAAAGGAGATAGAGAACGCAGGGTGGGGTACTATTTTAAATAGGGTGGTCAGAAAGATGCTCCATATCACTAATTAGCAGAGAAATGCAACTCAAAACTACAATGAGGTGTCACCTCACACTGGTCAGAATGGCGATCATTAAAAAGTCTACAAACGATAAATGCTGTAGAGGATGTGGAGAAAAGGGAGCCCTCCTACACTGTTAGTGGGAATGTAGTTTGGTGTAACCACTATGGAAAATAGTATGGAGATTCCTTAAAAATCTAAAAATAGAGTTGCCATATGATCCAGCAATCCCATTCCTAGGCATATATCTGGAGAAAATGCTAACTCAAAAAAATACATGCACCCCAATGTTCATAGCACTATTTACAATAGCCAAGACGTGGAAGCAACCTAAATGTCCACTGACAGATGATTGGACAAGGTAGTTGTGGTATATTTATATAACGGAATACTACTCAGCCATAAAAAATAAATAATGCCATTTACAGCAACATGAATGGACCTGGAGATTATCATACTAAGTGAAGTAAGTCAGGAAGAGAAAGACAAATTCCCTATGATAGCACTTATATGTGGAATCTAAAAAATGACACAAATGAATTTATTTATAAAACAGAAAGAGACTCACAGGCATAGAAAACAAACTTACGGTTACCAAAGGGGAAAGGGGTAAATTAGGAGTTTGGGATTTGCAGATATAAACTATATATAAAATAGATAAACAACAAAGTCCTCCTGTTAGCACAGGGAACTATAATCAATATCTTGTAATGGCCTATAATGAAAAGAATATGAAAAAGAATATATATATATATATATATATATGAATGAATCACTATGCTGTACACCAGAAACTGACACAACATTGTAAATCAATGATACTTCAATTAAATAGATAAACAAATAGGGTGGTTGGGGGTGGCCTCTCTGATGAGGTAACATTTGTGAAGAGATCTGAAGCAACTGAGAGAGCTATGTGTTTGTCCTGAGGGAAAAGAATTCCAGGCAAGGGCAAAAGCCCTGAGGCAGGTGTGTGCTCAGTGTATTTGTGGAGCCCTCTAGAGCCTAATGTGGCTACAGAAGAGTGAGTGGGAGGGACCACTGCAGGACATGAGGTCAGAGAGGGCCTGAGACAATCATGCAGGGCCTTGTAAGGGCATTGTAAGGACTTGGCTCAATGGAAAGTCATTGTAAGGTTCTCCTTAGGTTTCAGCAGTTGGGTACGGACTAGACTGAAGGGGGAGCAGGTATGGACATGGGGAGACAGATGCATTAAGAAGCTACTACAATATCTGGGCAAGAGTAGATGGTGGCTTGGACCAGGGTGGAAGCCATGGAGGTGGTGAAAAGTGGCTGGATTCTAGATAATCGACTAGGGAGTAGCTGAGGTTCTGGGGATCAGGTGCGTGAGACTGCAGAGAGAAAAAGAGGAGTGAGAACTTGTCCCTGGAAATACTTAAGGCACTAGAGGAGGGAGAAGGGAGATGTCAAAGGAAATAGAAATGGGAATGCATTTGTTGGCTTTTAGGTTCCATGGATGAACTTTTGAGCAGTTTCTTGCATGTGGGGGCAGAATCATGTGCAGTGGTCAAAGAGTGAAAGTGACGGGGAGGAAGGGCTCCTGCAGGGGAAACTGTTGTTCTAGATTATGGTTCAGAGAAACCATGGTTGGGGAAAAGGAGGCAGGGAGAGGAAAGGGGCATTTTCTGGAGGGGCAGGGATGTGAGGGGTGTTGTTTTAGAAGGACCCAGTGGAGAGTGGAGGGAGGAAACATGAGCAGAGACCAGGATGGAGACACAGACCCTCCGTGGATGAGGGAGGAGCAGGAGGACGTCTACTGGTAGGACGTGAGAAAGAAGGGACTGGGCTGGCGAGTGCCCCGAAGACCTCGGAGGAAGAGAGCTCCCTGAGCCCGGGCTGGGCTTCCCTGAGAAGAGGGCGGAGATAGCCATGCTGTTGGCTCAGCAGGCAGGCTGAGCACGACCTTGGGGCCACCAGAGCAGAAGCACCAGCAACTGAGGAAAGTTCAGCTTCCAGAAATTCACCCAGGATCTCACAGTCCAGTTATCTAGAAAGAAGCTCTCGGAATCTTGGCATACTGAAGCTTTTTTAAAAAGTTGGAAAAAAAAATTGAATTTGCATCATATGGGGGTGAGATGCCCCATAGGTACTTAGGGTTTCTAAGGGGAAAGGTGTGACTCCCAACAGCTTTTCTTGGGCCTTACCCCTTGGGAGAAGATGGGGGGCAGGAAGCCTGGGTGAGAGGGGAGGTGGAATCGGGGTGATGGGGATGTCGTTGGCAGCTTGAACTGCATGGAGTGGAGCCTCTTGCCCCCTGCCACAGAGGAGATGGCGACGCAGACTTCTGTGGTGAAGGGCCGCTTCATGGGGGACCCGTCGCATGAGTACGAACACACTGAGGTGCAGAAGGTGAACGAGGGTGAAAAGGTCTTTGAAGAAGAAGTAGTGGTGAGTGAAGACAAGAGGAGGAGGAGGGCCTGAATGAAAAGGGCCTGGGCCATTCACATCCCAGCCCACTGAAAACGGGGGCAGCAGCAGCTGTTATCATTACCGCCCCCGTGGCTGGTTGGGCCTGGAGTGCTGGGTGTGCGTGGCCCTGTGCTACTGTGCCTGTCTCATCACTGTATCCTCACAGCTCTGGGAAGTTGGTACATTACTCTCCAGGTGGTGGAGAGGAGGAAACTGAAGTGTAGAGAGGTTGAGTGACTTGCCCAGGGTCACACAGCTCCTGAGCGAAGACAGGGTGGAAAGTGGGTGGGCAGCTCTTGTGGGAGCCAGGCTCTGGGGTGGGGGCTGGGAAGAAGGGGTCTGTGCTGCGCTCTGGGGTAAGGGGGTGTGCACAGGTGCTTATATTTTTGTAAAACTTGAATTTTAGTAGATAATATAGTCATGTGGTTCAAACTTCAAAGGTACAAAAAGAATATAGTAAAGTTTCCCTCCCACCTTGTCCACCAGTCACTTGGGTTCTCTTTTTGGAGGACATTAACATAACTGTTTTGTCTGTGTGTGTGTGTCCATATCTTGTTACTCAGAGCATAGTCTGGATCAGAAGCATCACTATGCCCTGGGAGTTAGAAATAGAGAATCTTGGGCTGGCATCAGGGTCTGAATTTTAACACATTCCAAAGGGATTCAAATACACATTAACGTTTGAGCTCTGCTTCCAGAGACATTCTATACAAATACAAATCTCAGCCAATCTCGACATATTCTCTTTTTATCTTAAAAGAAAAAAAGGTGGCAGGTTATGCACATAGTTCTGTACCTTGCTTTTTTTCACCTAACCATATATTTTGGAGATTTTTTTCTACATCAGTACCCTGAAGAGCCTCCCCATTCATTTTACCATCCTATGAGTGTACCATATTTAACCAGTGTCTTATTCATGGAAACATAGGTTTCCAAGTTACAGCTCTGACAAGCAGGGCCACAATGAATGACCTTATGCACGCATCATTTCCGATGTGTGGGCTCTATTTGAAGAATCAACTCCTAGAAGTGGAATTGTTGGGTCAAAAAACAACGAGCCCAGGTTTTGAGACTAGACAAAACTTGAGATTCAAAACACAGCCTCTGCTCTTGAAGCCAGGTGATGGCAAAATTCTGGGTCTGGGTCTGTGATGCTTCATTGCAACCCCTTGCCCACCTGATGAACTTAACCTCTCCTCAGTTTTATTTTCTGTAGAATTGGGATAATTATATTCACTTTGCAGGCTTGTGCAGATTAAATAAGGTGACATGTTTAAAGCCCCTGGCCTAGACACCTAATAAGTATTAGTTTCCATCTCCTCCTTGGTAAACAAGTCTAGTCAGCAGCCCATGGGGCTCGGTGACTCTGGGGGCCCCTGGTGACATGTTTTCCTTGTCAAGTGGTGCTATTTCTCAAACATCTCTATGAAGTCCTTTTGTTCAGGGTCACCCTTGATATTGATTATAACCAAATTTCATCTGCATAAAAATGCTATAGTATGGGGTGATGCTTGAGAAGTAATGTTAAGTCAAAGAGCAGAATATGAAACTATATAAACTGTAACTCTAATTTTCCTTTGAATATATGCGTAGAGAAAAAGAATAGAAGGAAGTATGCCAATATGTTACCAGTGATTACCTTTAGGAGGCAGGATTAGAGTGGTTTTCATTCTCTTAGGTATATTACAAAATGTATCTATATTACCCAAATATCCTACAGTGAGCATGATAGCTTTTATATTTTAAAAAAGCAAAGGAAGCAACATTAAAATATGATGAGAGAATGGTATGTTTCCGGTAGGGTACATGAGAAACCATTAGTGGTGTTTGTCCCCAGTGATGGCAGCTGGGGAGCCAGGGATGAGGTGAGAGAGACTGCTTTTTTCTTTTTTTAAGTTTTAAATATTGCACCAGTATGTATTACCAATTTAAGGAAGGGAGGGGGAGAGAGTGAGGGAGGGAAAGCGAGGACTCACCCATCCTGCTTTTCCATGGACCTGGCATCTGTGCTGACCCCAGTCGGACAGTCACGCCGAGGGCACTTGCACCAGGGGTGACTGGCACAGTGCCCTGGCAGGAAGACTCATCCCCTGTCTGCTCAGGTCCAGATCAAGGAGGAGACCCGCTTGGTGTCTGTCATTGACCAGATCGACAAGGCTGTGGCTATTGTCCCTCGAGGCGCTCTCTTTAAGACTCCTTTTGGATCCATAAACGTCAATCGGACCTTTGAAGGTGAGCTCTCAGGGGCCTCTCTCAAGGCCTGAAGGTGTCTCTTCCCAAGCATAGTCCGACAGGTGTCTGGGAGTCCAGGGGAACCTTCCTACTTTCTCAGAGAAGGAACAGCTGTGGCTGCATCACTTGGGAGGATGTGCCCAATGGCCTGGCATTAGCACTTGGCACAGGTACCCAGTCCCTGGACCCTGATTCTTTTGTGCCTGAGGGTAGGAGAGCCTCTGGCTGCCAGGGTCCGGGGCTTTGTGTGGGGCTGGGCTCCTGACCTTTCCCCTCCTTTCTCCTCTGTAGCCTGTCCTTATTGCAGGACCTGGGCCAAGTTCAGGCGGAGGGAACACTGCTCCCTTTTTGCCCTTTAGTTCCCCATCAGTAGTTGACTGAGTCCTCTACAAGCCCCTCTGTGAGGTTCCCAATCATAGAGAAAGGGGGCTGTGGGACTTAGGGCTGATCATCCCTTCCTACCTGCTGCCTCTTAGGCCTGTCCTTGTCCGAAGCCAAGAAGCTCAGTTCCTACTTCCACTTCAAGGAGCCTGTTGAGCTGAAGAACAAGACCCTGCTTGAGAAGGCTGACATGGACCCCTCCCTGGACTTCATGGACTCCTTGGAGCATGACATCCCCAAAGGTAACAGCCTGTTACTTTGAGAATGCTGGATCTGGCCCCAGCTCAGAGCAGCGGGCCAAGCCACCTGCCGTTCTTCTCTGAGTGAGTCGGACTGAGGGCCTGGGTGGGAACTGGGGGTTCACCATGGGACCTTGAGGGTGGAGCTTCCCCAGGGCTCAATACAGGGCTCCGCTCATAGTAAACAGGTAGTAAGTGAGGACAAAAGGATTGATTGTTCCATATGCTTCCACAGACAGGAAGTCTCTCAGTGCCTCTTTTGATTTTCATATCCATCTTGAATGGAGGCAAGTTGGGAATCTCCCCTATCCAAACATCTCTGAAAACATCCCTGAAAATACTAGTTATACATACATCTCAACTGTTAGTTTCAGAGTTAGATCCAGTGCTTGGCACATAGCTGGTGCTCAGGGAGTGGGTGCTGACTGACCTGCTAAAGAAGTGAGTTCTGTGCATTTTCTCCCTGCTATGTGTGTTGTACTTTTTAATCTCAAAATGGACAACTTCAGAGCCTCCCTGTGCTTCAGGTCCCACCTGGCCCAGGCATATAGCCAGCAGTTGGTGGTGGGATCACAGAGACCCCAGATGCTTCCCCTGAACTTTGCCAGTCAAGTGTGTCCTGGGAAGATGCTCTTACTTGGATGCTACATCCCAGGACAGGTGCCAGGTTCTGAGCATTCGGGAGCCAGACCCAAGGCACTGACACAGCACCCCTGCTTCTTTCCCTTCCCATGCTTGGTGCTCTGAGAACTGGAGGGATCTGTTGTTGATGACAGCAATGATAATGATAATAACAACTCCTAAAAGCAGTGACACTGCTTATTGTGCGCCAGGCACTGTACTCAGTCCTTCCCATGCCTTATCTCATTGTAATCTTCGCAGCTGACCTAGGAGGTAGATACTATTATTATCCCCATTTTACAGGTGAAGAAACAGGCTCAGAGAGTTAAGCCCAAGGACACAACTAATGTTAGAGCATTAGACTCCAGGGCTCTGCCCCTAACGGAAGTGTCACGTAGATGGTGTTTTTCTTTTAAGTGGACAGTGGGGATGGCAGGACAGTAGTCACCCCCACCACTAGGGGGAAACACTTCTAAGAAGCAACGAGGAACCCCTTAGGGCTGGAACTCAGGGTAGGGGTGTGATGTGAATAGCGGTTAAAGGCAAGGGCTCTGGAGTCAGAAAGCCTGGGTTGGAATCCTGAATCTGCTACATACTAGCTGTGTGACCTCAGGGAAGTCCCTCAAGTTTCCTTGTGCCTCAATTTCCAAAAGGGGAATAATATGTTCTATCTCATTGGATTGTTATGAGAATTAAATAAGTTAATACTATACAAAATGCTTATGATAGTGCCTAACATATTAAGGACTGAATTAAAAATTAATAATTATTACTTATATTATTTTCAGTGGAAAGAAGGCCTTACTGAGGTGGGTTGGGCAGGCCTAGAACGGCCTAGATGGCCAAGGGGTAGTAGGCCTAGACCAAGGCAGGAGCTGCTTGTGGCTTGTGAGCAGGTCTGTGATAAGGCAGTGGTGCATGGATGGATGGAGAAGGGGAAGCCAGGGATCTGGAGACAGTTTCAGGTCTACTGCAGTGCCCCAAGGGCCTGGGCCATAGGATCCCTGGTGAGTAAGGGCTGCCAGCAAAGAGTGACTACTCTGGCCTCTGCCACATGGGGGTGCCAGAATCCAGCCTCCCTGAACATAGAAAGAGGGTCCTGGACCTTTTGGGGAGATGAAGGTTTATAGGGGCTTGGGCATTTCTCACTTATCAGACATACTTTCCAGACTCATGTTACCTCCACCAACTCTGCTCGCATCCTGGCTAGGAGCCTGAGGGGGCTGCACATCCCCTGCTGATAAAGGGAGCCAGGAACACTGTGGTGGGGGCCCAGCACCAGGGGCTGAGTGGTGGGCAGGTAAAAGTCCTCCTAATGTCCTTAACCTGGGGGCAGAAGCCCCTCCTCCCTGATTCAGGGTGTGGCTGGAAAGCCTGGCTCGGTGCTGACCTTTCAGCCTTCACACCTGCAACAGAATGTTCCAAGGCCAGCAGACGACACACTCCCTCCAGTGCTTGGTGACCAGGCCTCCTCCCCCTGGAACTTCATCCTTTGTGCAGTGGGAGGGGCCAGGAGGGTGCTGGGGCCTTTGCAGCCATGACCAAAGCTGACTAGACAGGGTGTGGGGGCCCAACAGTCTTCCTAAGGGAACCCCACCAGCCCTATCTGCCATGCACTTGGGATAAAGGGGACACGCAAAGCAGCTCTCTCTCTCCACAGCAGGGGATGTGAAATACAGAGCTTTGGGGTATTCCTAAAGGATGCTGGGGCCAGTCAGCAAGTGAATTAATCAGGCCCCTGGGAGGTAGAGGATCTGGACCCGGGAGGTGGATGAGTTGCAGGAGCCTGAGGCCCTAGACTTCTTGCCCTAATGGTGGGCCTTAGGGCTGAAGGATCAGCCAATGATTCAACACCCTAGTCTTCCCCAGTATGCTGCTTTGTCCTTAGTGCTGGAGCCTTGGGAGCTGAAGGTTCCTGGCATCTTCTGTGTGTGTATGTGGCCTGAGGGGAGGGGTGCTCCCAGCCTGACCCTGGGAGACATCACAGCTTCTGGGGCACTGGCTCCTTTCCTCCCAGAGCCACCACCAGAAAGCCTCCAGGAAGTCAGGCCCAGTTTTTTCTCATAATGGCTTGATGGAGGCGTGGGGTGGTAGTGGTGGTGGTGGTGTAGAAGTGTGGATGGTCAGGGGAGAGCACTCTGATTTTGCTTCCAGACTCCTTCCTTATTGCCAGTGAAAGAGCAGGAGCTGCTGGGAGGCTGCACCACCTGGCAGACAGCAGCCAGGCTACTAAGTAGGGCCAAAATCCCACGTTAGAGTCCCCTGGGACACCAGCACTGGATGGTGGGATGGAATTTGGCAGCTCTTCTCTGCCCAGGTAGGATCACTGTTTCCTTTCTGGGTCTGAGGGGAACTTCGTGTCACCTGTGAGCAGGGATGGTTTAGGCTGGCCCTGTCCCTGGGACTCCTGCTGTCTGCCCATGGGGTAGGCCAGGAGGTCAGCAGCTGGTCCCTGGGCCACCCTTGGCTGAAGAGAGGATGGGATATTTCCTGGGGCCACTAATGCCCTCCTGAGCCATCCTGCTCTGCAGAGTTTTGTGGGAGCAGGTAACTTTGAGGGCAGAACTATCCTCCTGGTAGACACCGGGCAACAGCTAAGAGTTCTCTGAGACTGGGCTGCAGCCACGTGATGCAGAGCTCCAGGTCAGGATGCCAGGTTTCTCGGCAGTACTCTGCCATTCAATGCTCTTCAATCTTCCACTCCATCAGCAAATACCACTGAGCAGCTACAACATGCCAGGCACTGGGGATGCTGTCAGGAACAAGGCAGACACCATCCTTGCCTCACAGAGGCTTTGGAAAGACCAAATGAAATAAAGGATGGGAAGTGGAAATGTAAAACAGAAGGTGCCTCACAAAAAAGGTCGTCGGTGTCCTGCAAAGCAGAGTTCGGGTGGAGGGCAGAAAACCTCTCCTTGCACCACTCTGGGCTGGAGCTGACAGCTGACTGCCTGGCACTGGGCTGTTGGGGCGCCAGCACAAGTGAGTTCTCAGCAGCAATGCCCAGTTCAGGCAGCAGAGGGCAGCAAGGGGCCTGCCTGTCTGGAAAGTGGCCTTTAAAATGTGGCTGGGGACGGGATGGGGACAGGAGAGACAGTACTGGAGAGGGGTGGGGAATATGGTGTCTGGGATCAGCCCTTCCTTGGTGGGTGTGCAGGTGGGGTTCCTCCCACCAGTCCCTTGGAATCCTGGCTGACAGGTGCCTCGACCTTCTAGACCAGAGGTCTGGCCTTGGCCATCATTAGACAGGTTACTCTTCCACCTGTAGCCCCCCACCCAGTGCCCCTGGACAGCTCTGAACCCCAGCCTGGTTCTCCTCCTCAAACTTAATCTCAGAGCTGTGTTGCCCTTCTTTCTGGAAGACAGGAGAATGTAATGATGAAGAGCATACATCCAATTGAGGTTTCCAAACCAGCAAGGTGGGTGAGATCCTCAGGGCCCAGGACACCCAGGACTTCCTGCTGATGCAAGAGGCCCCATTCCTTATTTACTAGTGTGTATCCCACTACATCCTCAAAAAAGAGAGCTTGTGGAGAAGAGTGGCCACCAGGGGGGCGGAGGGGAGGTCTGAGGAGACTTGGAAGAGACGAGGGGCTTTGAGCTGAAACAGCAGGGCTGCAGGAGGCTGCTTCCCCTGAGTCCTAGAGGTTGTGGCTGGCCGGGCCCAGCCTTTCCAGCATTTGCAATAAGTGGGTGAAGGTGACAGCAAGTGCCTGGCTTCCCAGATAGATGCTACGTGACTCCTGGGACATTGAAAGTCTGTTTCCTGAGTGACAAGCTGAGCCAGGGACAAGGAGAGGAGGACTGGATTGTGACAGGAATGCAAGGGAGGGAGAAGGCAGTGTCAGCTGGCCGGTCCCTCACATGCTGCTTCTGTAGTCTGCCAGCACCCTTCAGCCCGCTTGGCACTGCCCCCTGCCCTGACGGGGGCACTATATTTTGCTAGCATCTCGACCAGGTTCCCCTAGCTCCTGGCTGAGGTTGGGGAGCTCCTGCTGATGAGCCTGGGCCCCTCATCTACTGGAAGCAAGAAGTAGCCAAACCCTAGCTGGGGAGACTGGTGCCAGGGGAACCCAGGACCCAGCCCTTGCCCAGGATGTGCCAAGGCGCTGATGACAGGGAACGGATAGAATGGTCAGGGTTGGGGGACTCCCGATTCCAGTTCTCTGGGGGCAGTGTTTGGCCTAGGCACACTGCAAGCTGCCTTCCCCAGGTGGGTGAAGCTTGACCTTCTTCAGTTTGAGGGGGCTGTGACTGTGGGCTCTAAGGGCAGGGATAGACTCCCCAAATGATGTTCTGGACACTGGCAGGGAGAACTAAGCAGGGCTATCTTCCTAGGGGTCTGTGCTTCTGGCCAAAGGCTGAACGCAGCGTAATGGGAACACTTCGTTCTGTCACACCCCATTTCCTGTGACCCCTAGGCCATCTCTGTTTTCTGGAATGAGTGAGTAGGAGGCAATAGGCTAAGGCCTCTAGAACTCTGCCAGCAGGTCTTGGAGGTGGAAGACCTCAGGTACCCAGAGAGGAAAGCTGTAGGAGCTAGAAGAAATACTCCCTTCTCTGACCAGGAAAGATCCCCCCCAATCCCTGGCAGTGCCCTGGCCAGAGCTCTGATAACCCAGGAACACACTTCTTCCTCCTTGATGCTGTCTGGCTGGCACTGAGCAGGCCTGAGGGAGTGGGATCAAGCCCACACTGTGCCTTCCACTTCATCTCATGGTTGGTGGTGGCACTTGCTGCAGGCCACCGCACAATGCTGAGGTGGCCTCCAAGTGGCATCCCCCTAAGCAAACCAGGGGCAGATGACCTGCATGCAGCCAGAAAGCTCAGGCTTTGACCTGGGCAGGTGCTGGCACCTAAGCAAGGCTGAGCTGCCATCAGGGCCAGGGGTGCTTGGTGGTCAGGTCTCTCAGATGCAGGGTGGCCCCCTGGTGGGTGGGGCCTGATTTGTGAGGCTGCTGGGTGTGGAGTGACCAGGGTGGGCCATGGTTGGAGGAGGCCTGGGGGCAACGGGGCGATGGGAGCCAGGCAGCCGGGGCTTAGCTGGCAGCTGATGAAGGCCTCGGCATAGCTCTCAGTGCATCACTGGCTGGTCCGGCACCAAAACCTTCAAAGCATTTGCCTTTCTGGCAAGGCCTGGAGCAGAGCTGCGGCTGGGCCGGGGAGAGGCCTCAGTGCGCAGGGGAATAGAAGCTCCAGATCTGCATCCAGAGGCGATTTTCCCAGGCTCCTTCCTCCCACACAGCGGCTCCCTCCCTCGGTTCTGGAGCTGGATCAGGCCTTTCCCGCCAAGTCCTTATGGCTGCACAACTCAGCCTCGGGCTGGGCTGCTCCCGTCTGGGGAGCAAAAAACCAGGGCAGAACCCAGGACAGACAAAGGCTCATTAGCTGCAGCCCAAGTCCCCTCCCGCCAAGGATGGCTCCCAGGCTCCTAGCTGCCAGAAAGGGCTATTGAGCTGGGAGGCCTGAAACGACCACACTTCTACGTGAGTCTGGTCAGGACTGATCCATCTCTGAGAAGAGGCTTCTGGGCCTGGGGACAAGGGCAAATGGTAAGTAGAGGCAAAGCGTGCCGGGACTGAAGGCCACTAGTGAGCACCCTTAGTGCAGGGTTGGGGAGCCTTGAGTCTCCCTGCTCAGCCCCAGCTCCCCTCCGCCTGTGGACTGTGGATTCAGCTGCCTCCCCCGCGCAACCTTTCACTAGACTTGCTGACAGGAACAAAATGGACTGCTTTGAATTTCACCTCTTTTCATTTCCTCTGTCCTCCCTCTGGAAGTGGTTTTAATGAGCAGTGAAATGGCTCAAAGGCAATCAGGAGGAGTAGTGCCGGGATAATTAATTAAATTGTCTTCCCTGTTCCCAGTGGAACCTTGACGCCCAGGCCTGGCTGCTTGGGGCCTCTGCACACCCCGCAGGGCTCCTGCTGCACAGCACCCAGGCCCTGCCTCCTCCCCAGGGTCCTGGAGCATCCAGATGGAGAGGGGCAACGCCTTGGTGGTGCTGCGCAGCCTGCTCTGGCCGGGCCTCACCTTCTACCACGCTCCCCGCACCAAGAACTATGGCTACATCTACGTGGGCACCGGCGAGAAGAACACAGACCTGCCCTTCATGCTGTAGGAGGGCCGCCCAGGAGTCTCAACAGTATTTTCATAAACTCCGGTGAATCTGGTCTGTTCGCTCTGTGCTGCTGCTTCCCATCTCCGCCTCTATCTGCTGTCCAGGCTGAGGAGAGGCTCAGCTCTAAAGCAAGTGGCAGAGGGTGGGAATGTACACTAACGAGAGAATGGGGGGAGGAAATGGCTGGGGGAGAAGGTGACAGCCAGGAACCCTTTGAGAAAGGCAATTTCTTGGACTCAGAGAGCTGTGCATGGGCCCGACAGCCCAACTCACCTCCTCCTAGCAGCCCTCCAGGCTGAAGAGCTAACAGTTGTCAACAGAGAGGAAGGGAACCTGTTAGGCCTGTGAACTCCACTGCTTCCACGTGGCCCATCACAAGAGGTCAGTGACTCAATGCTCAGCAACTGGCCAGGAATGGGCCAAGCCCCCCGCCTATCCAAGCAGTGAGCACACACCCAGTGGGCGAGTACGAGCCTGGTTTATAATATTCCTCTGGGCAAAACTCCTGTCCCCTGGCACTGAGCGAAGCCCAGGCCAGTTATGAGACCACAGCAGCTGTCCAGGAACCTGACTCCCTGCCCACCTGCCCCCAGCTCCCAGCACTGTGGCTGGGCAGGCCCAGGACACTGAAGATGGTCCTGCTGACCGTCGTGCCATCCACTTTGGAGGAGCCGGAACGCCTGGTGGGATGGGGCGGAAGTGCAGGACAAGCTTGGGCCAGGCTCTCGGGAGGCCCTGCTCTCAGTCAGTGATACAGCACCAAAGGCCTGCCCGAGTAGGAGACATTGTCCTTCAGGAGGGGGGACCCCACAGCCATGTGCACCCTGTTCCAGCGGTGGCCTTTGTTGTAGATGGGCTTGACGGAGCGGGGAGACCAGCGGGTCAGGTACCTGTGGAGGGAGGGCCAGGAGGTGGCTATGAGGGCTGGTGGCCCATGCTGCAGCTGGGACTGTGGGCATGGCCTCCTCAGGCCCAAGCCACAGTTGGCCAACCAAACCCTTTCACCAGTTTTTCTTTCTTGAGGAGAAGGGGCTTTTCCTGGGAGCAACTACCAAGTGTGCTGTAAACAGATGGGCTGGGCTTTTGCTGCTGCAAGTGTGTGTGGCCAGGGTCAGGCAACCCAAGGCCATGCGCTCCCTTGATCTTTATGAGTTGTCAGTGTTTGTGTGTATCTGCTGGGGGAGGAGGAAGTGGAGGAAGAGGCTGCTCAGAGAGCAGATCATCCCTCTTTGGCCTCAGTCTTGGGAAGAGGAGAGCCTGATGTAAGGGCCTGGAGGAATCCTTCCCTCTTCCCCACTTGGCTCACTCCAATACCACCCCAGCCTTCAAGGAACAACCCTGGTGGAGGACCCCTGCCCCTCACCCAACCCATGATGAGAGCCAAGGGTAAGGGCCCATGGGTGCAGACCTAGGCCAGGAAGGTTCTTGGAAGCGGGAGGGGGTGGGGAAAGATGGCTACCACCCACAGGCCTCTGGCCTCCTTTGGGGATGGCAGGGCCGATAGTTCCTGGAAAAGTGGCTCATGCCGGCTGGGACTGGGGTTTACTCCATCCAGAATGAGACCTGGATTCTGTCCAAAGAGGCCCACCCTTCATCCTGAAAGCTCAGCCATGGAAAAGACTAGGATCCTTGCCTGCCTCCACACTAGGTCGGGGCTCAACCCAGCGGCCCTTAGAGACCCTCAATTGAGAGGTTTTAAAATTAATAGCCACAGGTGAAAAATTTTAGATAAGAGTGAAAAAATGACTGCAGATTTATACATTTCAACTGAGCTCCCCTGGACCTTGGTCTTCTGCTCTCAGCTCTGAGAGGAAGTAAAAAACTGAGGGGGGTGCTGGCCTACATGCCAAGTGTGAGGTGGGCTGGCAGGAAAGGGCTTCCCCATGTCCACTGTGGCTGTCAACACCCTAGCAGGGAGGCACTGGTGCAGTGGGCCAGCCCCAGGGATGGCTTCTCCTATGGCTGGTGGTGCTGGAACAGCAGGAGAGTAAAGGGAGGGGAACACCTAGCAGGCCCCACACTGACTTCTCCAGTCTTCAGAGGGAGTGGGTGAAGAGGTAGGGTGTGGGAGCAGGCTCCCCAAAAGGAGTGCTCATTGGGTTTGAAGACTTCAGAAGATCCTGAGGTTGACCAGATTCTCCAGAGCTGCTGCCCTAAAGCTGTTCTTCCCCTGCTGCCCCGGAGAGACCCCAGGGAAGCTGGGCTTCAGTTAGCCCTGGGCCTGATGCCTGTGCCCCATGGAGCAGCCAACTGGCAGGGGAGGGGGCCAGGGGCCTCCAATCAGCTCCCAGGGAACACTCCAGCTCTAAGAAGGACCGAGGCTCCTTCCTAAACAAGCTCTCCCCTCCTACCTCTCCTGAAGGGGTGGGGGAAGGAGGAAGTGTGGCTCCCGGGGCCAAGCAGAGCCTGGGCCAGTACATGGCAGCTCAAGGACCTCTGGATGGAATCATAAAGTCCTTTGTAAGGAATCAACCTCCCTCGTAGCCAGGATTCCCTCTCCTCCCCAGGGTGGCCTTTTGCAACCCAAGAGCCCCCACACGTCATCAATCCTGTGTCACGTTAAAGGACACCGGATATATGGGAGGGAGCCTGGCTCTGCTTCAAAGGCCCGAAGGCAGGATGATTGTGTCCTTAGGTTTCTGCTGTCTCTTAACAAGTTGGGGTGGGGGTGGTCCTAAAGCACATTTGGGAAAGATAGGAAGAAGTTAATATGTCCCATTCCCCCAGGGCTGCTGGCAGATGGCCCAGCTAGCAATGTGGGAGGTGCAGGTGGAGGTGGGCATGGGGCCAGGGTGCTGGAAAGGCGTCAGTGAAGACCCAGCTCTGGTCCTGTACCCCCAGCCCAGTAATCCATGGCTGGTATCTCCCTGATCTCCCATCCTCCATGCCTGGGTTCTGCTGGGGATCAGCCTAGGAGGTTCGTTGGGGTAGGGTGTCTTGCTTTGCTTTAACCAGGGAGAGCAGTTCCAGTGGCAGCTGGACAGGCTGAAGGAGGGAGGGGCTGTTAACAGGGAAGAATAAGAAGAAATTTCATGTCCTGGATTTATTCTCAACAAGATGGTATTGTAGGCCTAGGAGTATGTGAATGTGGTAATGTCAGAGACGGCTGCCTGACTGTTAGACAGGACTCTGTGCTTACACCCGAGGGGGCCACCCTGCTTAGGCTAAAAGGGAGACTGATTGATTCTGGGATCTAGAGGCCTTTCTCTCCTCCTCTATAAAACCTCAGGACCTCATCAGATGCCATGTGTAGCTGTGCAGGTTGTTAACTGCACAACTCTAGGGAGCACCATTCACAATCTAGTCTACACCGATGCTGCCCTCACGTTTTGCAGTGTACGATTTGCACAGCTATATGCAGTTGCCCTCCCATTTCTATTTCGAAGGTTTCATTTTGCCCTTTAATAACCCCAGTGCTATTACTGAAAGTTTGTAGAAGTGCTCTGACATTCCCATAGCAACCCGGTATGATGTCATAAACAGAGGATTAGCACATTCTAATGCCTAGCCAGCAGACCTCCTTACCCTCCTTGCCCCTGTGCTAAGTGCCCCACTGGGGAGGGATGAGGAGAGAGGCTGAGCCGACAGGGGAGGGTAAGAGAAGCGAGCACAGTATCAACCGCAGCAGTGGTGGGACTGACAGGGCGGGCGCTCAGGCTGAAAGGGGGTGGAGCGCTCTAGCTTTCTTGAGCTATGGGACAATGGCTTCCCTAGCGAGGGCTGAGGGCCTGCAGAACGCTGAGGGTGCTGACGCCCAGGTTTGCTTACCTGTTGAGTCGGGGTCTGCTCTTTGGAATGAATCCTTCAGGGAGCTTAGGCCTGTGATTTGGGAGCAGACCTGAGTGGAGGGAAGAGCATTTAAGGGGATGGTCTCTGCAACTCCCTCTGCAGCTCTCCCAGGGGTGGATGGAAAGCCCCAGGGGGTGTAGCTTGGCACTGGGGGATGAGTATAATGAAGCCTCTGGATACCCATTTCTCTTCCGGGAGGGGCTGGGACATACGGCAGCTGGAGGGTGGGAAAGGTGCCCACAGCCCTCTGCTCCTCTTAGTCCCGAGGGGCCTTCTACCTGCTCGGTGGGCCATCTTCACACACTCCTCAATCTTGCGGTGCTCTTCAAGGCACAGGCCTGTGACCCTTCGGGGCAGCATGCCCCCATGCGGCCGGATGAACTGACTGAGCAGGAGAACATCCTAGTGGAATCAGAAAAAAGAGATGAGGGTCATTTGGATGGGCGCTTGCTGCTGGGGAGCCAGGGCCAAGTGACCTCCAGGGGAGGCTGAGGCCTCCCTGGGGAATGCAACCTGAGCCCATGCTCCCACAAAGAGCTTTGCACGCAGGCCTGCTACCTCCACTCTAATAGAAGTTCAGTCCCAATTTAGCAAGATTTTCTGACCCCATTACCAACCCTGAGAGCTCTCAGGTTCTCCATGAGACAGTCTTTTGATAGATAAGATTAGAGAACAGGAACTCCTCGGGAAGTGTTAACAAGCTTTCCCGCACTGACAGTATCTTTCCTGGTGACGAAAGGTCTGTTCTCCATGAGTGAGGGCGGGAGTATGTTGTATATTTCCACACAAGAGGGAAAACCTGTACCACTCCCGCCCCCCAAAGCCTACATATGTGCCACGGGCCAGAAGACCCACAGGGAGCCCCTCCCCCTTCTGCTGGTCCCTCTGAAGCCCAAGGCAAGATAAAAGCTGAGGAGGAAGGGCCCAGGGTTGATAAGTTAAATCCCATATCTTCTAATGTGACCCTGTGACCAGATGTGAATGGATTCTTGGGCTTGCTTTGAGCCATCAGATGCCTTTGGACAAGTCAGGGAAATAAGGCTAAACAGAGCTAGAATCAAGAGAGACCACTTCCCCTCCCAACTCTCACAGGATGGCTGAGGGGGTTAAATAAAGTCTCCTACCCCACCCACCCCCGAGGGGCCTGGCACACTGGTCTCCACAGTCTTGGTCCACAAATTGACTCTGCCCTGGCAGGCGCCTCACTGTATAAACCACAGATTTGTTTTAATCACTGGACAGTTCCCAGGGGACCCAGGCCCCCAATTCCCACCCCTGTAATCTTCACAATCTGATGAAAAGAACTTGGATTGGATTATCTAGGGCTAATACACTGGCTCACAGCCTCACCACCCCCACTGCAGGCTGCCAAGGAAGATGACAGCTTTGTGCAGCTCAGGCTAGCGGTGTCCGGAGCAGAAAGGGGTAAAGGAAAACAACTTCTTCAGCCTTTACCTTGGAGGGGATTGGATTTCTTTTGCTGGATAAACAGAGCCAAGCCCATTTCCTGGAAACTGCTGGTAGGAAGAATGCCCCATGGCAGTCAGGCAGGTGTGGGTTCACCTTGCGGCCTGCAACTGGGATACTAAGTATGGCCATGACCCCACTAACTTCCATGTCACAAGAAGTTGAGAGCACTGTCCCATGGCCTGCAAGTTCCCTGTTACTCAGGCAGCCATCAGCAGAAGGGCTGTGCAGGGTGAAAGAACCCCACCCCCACCCCCACCCCCGGGTGGCCTGAAGCCAAGGCTCACTGCCCAGGAGATTAGTTGGGTCATTCTGTTCAGATCCCATGGGCATGTGGCCTCTCCTGCTCTCACCACCTGATCAGGATCTCTGCCCTTAGTCATCCCATTCCATAGAGGGGCACAGGGACAACTTGCAGGTCAAACTGGCCCAGAGCCTGAATCACCTGAAATCTAAAAATAGGGAGCTTAATGTCACCAATAGAACTCTGAAGGACAAGTATGGATTTCTGCAGGGCTGTGTCCTTTCCCCCAGGCCTGCCCCATGTCCAGACAATGTAGAGTGGGAGATGAGATCATAGGCCCTACCTGGGTTTTGTATCCCCAGAGTTTGTATCCTATCTCTGATACTTACTAGCTGGGTGATCTGAGACAAGTTCATTAACTTTGCCATGCCTCAAATTTCCTCATCTGTAAACCAAGTATGAAAAAAGCACCTACTTCATAGGGCTATTGTGAAAACTAAGTGAATTATGACAGGTAGGTGCTTCCAGAGCACACACTCCATGCAGCTCACCTACTGTTACTCACTCTCATCTCTCCATGCGACAACTCTAGAGGAGCTAGAGCAAACAGGGGACTTCGTAGCTCCACATGGAAAGACAGTGATGTGTCCCCGGATCACAGTGAGGACCTTGCAGACATGCGCTCATTCTAAAAAGAGGAAAGCCAACCTAGACCCTGATTCCATCCTCCTGGTGGTCCCAATCACATGCAGCCAGACCGTGAACTAAGTCAGGGGCTTTCTACCCTGGCTGCACATGAGAATCACCTGCAGAGTTTAAAAAAAAAATGATGGCCCAGCTTCACACCAGACCAACCGAACTGATGCTGGGGGTGGGGCCCGAGTAGTTTTTGAAGCTCCCCTGTGATTCTCATCTGCAGCTGGGGTTGAGAGCTGCTGGACCAAATGCGTCTGTCTCAGTGGCTCTGTGAGATGCTGCTTAAGCCAACTGGGGAACACGATCTCCGTGCCGTGCAGACGTGTGTCTGTGCCCAGACTCACCTCGTGGCCATACTTGTGCTTCAGGTTCCAGCGGCAGATGGGGCACTGGCCGGAGGGGTTGGGGGGATTTGGACTTTCCTGGTGGGTCCCTGTGATACGGCCTTCGATCTAGGAGGCAGAGAAACAGAGCCAGTGACGGAGAGGGTGTGGGGAGCCCTGATCCTCAAGCAACCTCCAAGTGAGACTCCATCTCTGGGGGGCTCATGGGAGTAGCGAATGGCTCTCTCCACCTGAACCATGGTGGCAGTTCTGCAGCTGCTGCACAATGGGCCTTGGGGTGGCCACAGAGATGGGGTTTGGTGGCCTGCAAACGTAGTAGAAACTGAACTTAATTTAATGCTGGTGGCAAGAGGGAGTGGTTTGCTGCATTAGCTGAAAGCTACCTTTCCTTCCTCAGAAAAGACAAAAACCCCAAAACATTATACTTCCCTCTCCCGGCTTTGGGGAAAAGTAATAAATGCACATGGTAAAAAGTTTCACACTGTGCAGGGATGTGGAGTCCAAAGGAAGTCTCCCTCCCATTCCACATATCCTCCTCAGAGGAAACTGCAGTTTCCAGCTTTATCTGACAGAGGTGAGTCTATACCAGAGGTTCTCTACCAGGCATGATTTTCTCTTCCAGGGACACTGGACAATGTCCGAGACATTTCTAATCGTCACCTTGGAGGGATGGGGTGCTACTGGCCTCTAGCAGGGGAGCTGCCGATCATCCTCCAATGTACAAGACAGACCCCACACCAGAGAATCAGCCAGTCCAAAACACCAACAGTATGGTGCCAAGAAGCCCTGGTCTATGTCTATACAAGCAGACATCTGTGCACACCCCCCTTCTCCTCTCTTTCCAAAAACACAGAGGGGAGGACACATTTCCCTGCCCTCCTCCTCTTATCATTTTGGATGCCACCTTTCAGACCCCACTGAGGCCACGTGTGAAATGACCTCCACCAAGGCTGCTGTATCCTGTGACACAGCCTTGGAATTATTAAGTGCAATAAACCAATGATCTGGGAGTCGGCTCCAATTGCAAGAGGGGAGTTTAAAAAGCCTTGCTGATTGAGGCCACGGATTATAAGTGAGGTTGGTGCAGGTCTGAGAGGCTTTGGGGGGAAGTAACACTGTCTCCTGGCGGAGAACTGACAAAAGGCAAAGGGGGCTGGAAGCAAGACTTGGCTGTGCAGGGCGCTGCTACTACCTTTCTGTCAAGGCCACCACAGCTATGCCAGAAATGGAGACGTGTGCTAGGGAAAATGTGCAGGGGCACGGAAGGCCTTGGGAGGGGGTCGGGATGGGCCCAGGGTGAGGGGAGCTAACGTTTATTGACTCCCGCTATATGCCTGGCTCTGTGCTAATAATGGTCCACGTGTACTATCTCATTTGACCCCACAACCTAGTGAGGGCGGCATCATGATCTTATTTTACTGATGAAGAAAGTGAGACCTTGGAAAGTGAGCAATACCTAAAGTCAGCCATGGCAGCGCCTCTCCGGGCTTGGCTGGGCTTCTGCCAGCATGGAGTTTACAGGGTGAATGCTTGTGTTAACTTTGAACAAGGAAACCAGAAAAGGTGCCCTAAGGGAATGGGGGCCCCCTAGAAAGAACTGTTTTTTTATTTATTATTTATTGTTATTTTTAACATTATTTTATTGAGTTATTAGAAAAAACTGTTTTGAGGTTAAGCACTGCAAAGGCTGAGGGAATGTTCTGGGGAAGACCCAAAGAGGGAACCATATGGATCTGTCCTGGGGATAAGACGGCCTTGGGGAGGACCGAGCTTGGCCAGCTGCCAGAAGGGTTAAATCCCTGGTTGACATGGAAGCTACAGAGGCTTCTGAGAGCTCTGTGGAGTGGTTGAGGATTTCTTGGAGGCGTGAAAGACCATGTGAAAACAACGTTGTCTTTCAGGGATTATAGGATAATCTAGGCCCCATGACTCCCTGAGGAAGGGAGGTGAGGTGGGCCCAGTGAGTGAAAGGGGAGAATGAGTGGGTGAAGAATCGGCCTAGCTTTCTCACCAACAGACAAGCCAGGGTGCCAGCTATGAGTCTAGGGCCCAGAAAGTGTCACCTTTTAACGTAACACTTAAGGAGTAGCTTGGTCATTCTAGGCAGAAAGGAAAGACACTAAGATCCAGGTTCCTGGCCCAGGGTCAACTTACTCTCTCTAGTCCTGCTATTCCTTAGTTTCCCCTTCAGAAAACTGACCTATCACCCACCAAAGAACATATCAGCAAATACCTCTGTGAGCCCTTGTCACACCAAAGGCGACTTTAATCAAATAACAGATGTTTCAGTCCTGATTAACCACACTCCGGCACACAGGCTGAAAAATAATAGACTGTGGGATTTATGGTCACAGAGGGAACAAGATCCTTAAGCCAGGAGTCCAGCGGGGGCCTCCCCCCCACCTCCCTCAGAGGAGCGCCAGGCAGTTCCAAGAGTTAAAAAGGCTAGAAGTAGCCAACTTGACAGTACTTACTATAGTCGTCTTCCCTTCTTGGATCTCCACCACTACAGAGATAAAGGGGAAAAATTAGGCCAGCTATTTAATAAGGAACAGGGAGTTTCAGATAGTAGCTCAAACTCTGCACATGCAGAGAATCAGAGCCTTCTTTCTGCCCTCTCCCACAGTCCCCACCTGGAAGAGGAAGTATGCAGGGTCACCTCGAAGTGTCAAGGCTCTGTGCCCTTGAGGTGGGTGGGGCAAACTCAGAGGCCCAAGTCCTATCTTCTCTCTGGGATTAAGGGTCTCCACACTATTTCTGCCCTTCTAAGCTGAGATTCCCCCTGGGGTCTCTCCAAGGGACTTGGCAGGATCCTGCCCTATTGTGTCTAGCGGTAATGGCCTAAGAGTTGGGGGGGGGGCAGGGCAGACACACCTAAAAGACTTTCAGATGTACCCACTACATGTGCTTTTTCATGACAAGAACCAGACAAACACAATTCCTGACCTTGACAAGTTTGCAACCTAAGATACAGCACTGAACTACCACTGCTCCAGGGGCCCTACGTGGATAAGCAGTGAGAAAAGTTCACACCTAAAACATCCTGAGAGCCTTGTGTTAAAGCTGTGTGAGGGCAACTGTGTGAGTTAAGTCCTCTCCTCTCCTCTCCTTGCGGGGTTGCACTTTGTCATCCACACTTGGAGAGGGATGATGGAAGAGGTAGGAGCGACGGACCTGCAGATACTGGGTCCAGGCAGAATTTCAAGGGAAGTACTGCAATTCCACACTCGGGCTCCCTTGGTTCTTTGCCTATTCAGGTCTGAGGCAGTCAGAAGAGAACCCAAGGGCAAGGCAGTTAAGTCACACACGTCAGGCTGTACATATTTCCTCTTACTTAACCAGGATGCAGAACGAGAACTTCAACAATACCCAAAGGAATAACAAGCTAATATCCCACATACGGCAAATAATCAAACTGAAAGTTCTTGGAGATTCTCCCTTGGTCTCCCAGTTTCTTTAGAAAGAGACAAGCCATAGGTGTTAGTGCCAGAACTGGCAAACCACAGATGCTCAATAGATGCTCGTGAGCACATGGGGAGCAAAACACTTGTCCCGGTCCCCTTCTGACTGCTAATTACTGTAATGAAACATGAGGGCACATATCTAGGATGCAAACCATCTCCCCAAATACAAAAATCGCATTTGAAAAGCAGTTTGGCTACCACAATTAGTTCTACTCAGCTCTAGCCAAGGAAAGTAGTACAGATTAGGAAGAGCCTAAGGTTAACTTTGAGAATCTAATGAAAGTTATGGATCCCGCCCTGGAAACATGTCCGTAAGCATACACACCATTAGATACGGGTTACAGGAGGCTCCCAGACCCCCCCAGCTCCGTACCTAAATGGTAATACCAGTTTTCCCTCAGTGGGGGCAGTAGGCAGTTTCCTAAAGTTTCTAAAATAAACATGTACTGCTTTTGCAATAAAAAATAAACAACAAAAAGAGGGAAAGAGAATGTCTAAGAAAAAAAGTGGGCAATTCTAACCCACCCAGAGGCCCACGGCAGCATCTGTGATCACTGAGCTCTGTGACCGACACCTAATTGGACACAGACTGCCTGGAATCGTCCCCCGTTTGTTTTCTGGGCACGGCCATTCATAAAGACTCATTATTGCAAACAACCAACCTGAGAGCCCCTCAACATTCAACTCCAGACACAAAGGAGTAACAAAGGCGAGAAAGGCCCCGAGGCTTTCTCCAGAGAACACTATAGTTACTAATCAATTTAAAGACAAACTAGGTTTCTCCCTGAAAGAGAAAATGCGTCACCCCACATGCGGCTCTACTTGTTCAGAACAGAGACCAGCTAAACGCAATGTGGGTGAGATTCATCCTGGTACTCAGTCTGGAGGCCAGCACAACTGCAGGGGGACAGTCACTGCAATGTGTCAGCCTACAAACGTGGTGGGGGCAGAAGGAGGGCCCAGCCCCAGACTGGCAGGGCTGCCAGGCACCCCAGAAACTTTGCAAATTTGCAAAAACCAAGTTGGAAGAGGGACAGAGGGTGACCCAATCTGAGCACCAACAGGTAGGGGGCGAGTTTTAAGAATCCTGATAAGAAACAAAAGGAGAGACCCGTTCTGGTACCTCTCTGGTCGGCAGGAGAACAGTGCCCTGAAACGAAGCAGATAAACATGTGCTTCCCCTCTCCGTGGAGGCACTTGGGTCTGAACCATGAGGTAAACAAGTCTAGCAAAACACACATCACTCCAGGCAAAGAACCAAACCCTGAAGTCATCCCACTGGCCCCTGGAAGAGAGATCAAAGCCTGTGGCAAGCTCCACTGTTCATGAGCTCCCCACAGAGCAGCTCTGAGCCAGTGAATCATCTTACAACAAGCCAGTGGGTAAAACAATAGGCAGATGCTTATCTACTAGAGACAATTTGTCAAACCAGAAGGAATGACCTGAGAACTCCTAAGGGACTGAGATTGATCAGGGCGGTGTCTCAGCGCAGGGGCAGAGG